GAGAGAGAGAGAGAGAGAGAGAGAGAGAGAGAGAGAAAGAGAAATCAACAGAGGTAGCAGCTGAACTCGCTGTGAAGCAGACCAATGGTGTCCCCACTCTCCATCGCAACATGAGACCGAGGTAATCAGAGACACAGTTTTGGGGGCTCTCGTGGTCTAGAGGTTAAGGTGTTCGCCTCTCTTTCAATAGGTCGTGGGTTCGAATCTGGATAGGGACGGAACATTTTCATCTCTAAAATTTTCTCCTTTCACACCCTTTCCTGCTCTCTAACAATGATCGGTCGTCTGCTTTTTGTCTTCATTTTCTGCCCCCACCCCTTTAGCTCATTGACCCCTCCTCTGGGCTCCTGACTCGTTCTGCAGCCTTTCTACTGCTACTCCTTGACTCCTTCTTACTGCTGTCTTTCAGCCTCACCCCTGATCTTATGGTAGAAAAGATCTACACATAGCCTTCACGGACAAGGGCGAAAAATCTCGAAAATCCCGTGTGAAAGTTGCACACATTAAAAATCCCTTGGTGGTCCAAAATCGATGAGTAAGCTTCGGCCGCCACCCGGGCCAAATTAAAAACTTCCTACCAACTATGTTTAATGTGTCCCGCGCAGACGGTGGCGAAATTAAAGTGGGACAAAATCAGGTTCGATGAACCGGTCCACCATCAAAGGAATAAGAAACCACGACCATCTCGGGAGACAATTACTACTAGTGTTTTTTAGCTGAAGGATTCCAGATGCCATTCTGTGAAATGGTGAATTAAATGGTATAGGTTTAACTCCCCTATCATCACTGTTACTGTTATGTTATTTAAGAGGCAAGGCCTCCGAGTTTGACGTCCATCTCCGAAAGGACCGAGTCAAATGGGAAATTCGTGTGAACTGTTTTTTTCAATGCCATTCGATTACGGAATTTACATTCGTTTAAATAATATACGTTCATCATAACATTTAAGAATTTAATTCATTTCAAAATCTATGTAAAAAAAAAATAATGTTAGCTTTTGTTGCCCAATATGGACGGCGGTTCTTTCGTACGTCTCACCTCTAAATACCTTTAATCATGTTCGAACGGACATTTCATTATGATTTTAAAAAAGCTGTTTCTTTAATTTGAAAACGGCACAGACAACATTAAGCGTATGTATCTAAAATGAAGGGTTATTCAAGAGGTGGGACCTCCAAATTTAACATCCATTCTGTCAGCGGAATTCTACTCAGTTAAAATTTTTATTATTAGTGATTTACTAGTGCCATTTTTCCTAACAAAAGTTAAGTACAATGTACATAATAAATTAATACGGGTAATAATGTTTTCCCCCTTCTTTGATTTTTGAGTTTCCTTCTTTTATTTTAAAGATTTTCATGTTCTGGGATGACTAAGTGGACGAAAGAAAAAAAACAAGAAAGAAAATTCCGAAAGATGACGTTTCAACTCAAAAGTTGTAATAAAACAAGTTTTTTAAAACGTTGTGCATTTGAGAAACTTGTGAGGAAATAGCAAAGAAAGATAATTCGATCATGTCACTAGTGTATAAAGTGAAGCGAGGCAGTCTGATTTGCTATACCCACAACATAGCAGTGCACTATTAATCTACTCATTACCTGGCATTTTACATTCAACACAGTAAATTATGTTAGAAAAGGCCACAGAAAAGTCTACGAACCCCCCCCCCCCCCAAAAAAAAAGAAGAAGAATTTTGGAAGGTCGATAAAGAGCATCATAACAGAATAAGCAACTATTGATGAAAAAAAAATGAAGGATAGAAACTCACCACTCCAACACACACACACACACACACACGCACACACACACTTACATACACACACACACAGACACACACACATGCACAATTGCAAACATACAATCGCAAACACACAACGACACAATTTCACACCTACACATAAACGCAATTGCACACACACACACACACACACACACACAAACAGACACAGGCTCAGACACAGGCTCAGACACACACACACAGACACAGACATACACACAGACACACACAGACACACATACGCACAAAACAAAATCCAAATAAAAAAAAAAAACACTCACGCACACAGACAAAATCATAAGCCCAATCCACATTTGCAACTTTATCATATTCCAACAATACATTTAAGAAACATTGGAGCTCGTAAACAAAATTTTAAAAAGCAAACAAAACCACTCACGCACACTGACAAAATCATAAGACAGATCCACACACTATACATTGTAACTGTATCGTATTCCAAAATACACATTACATTTACAGAAGAAACATTAGAGGAGCTCGTAAACAATACTCACTTGTCGGCTGCCTGGATCTCCTCATACGTCACAGGCTGCGTCAGATGGCGCCAATCCTCCTTCTGGTGTCTGCCTTGGAACCGGTGTCTCCTGGCCTGGTAGGCGTCGCTAGAGTCTGCGATCTTGGTCAGTCTCTCCATTAGCTGAGGGCCAGACACAGCACTGGAGTCCTGCTCGGACCTCTGGCCCATGGGGACACTGTAGGAGGAATGGAAAACAAAGGGG